GATTTCGGGAGTGCGTTTCGGAAACCTGCTTCTGAAACGGCAACCTGTTTCTGAAACGGAACGCGTTTCTGAAACGCTCAGCTTTTCAGGAACGCTCTGCCCAAAGGGCATTGGCTTTCAGCCCAACTCCGCGGGAACGTCGGAAGTGGAAAGCGAAAAAGAACGGACGAGGAGGGATATGAAAGGGGCGGATCAGCGTCGCGGCCGCCACCATCCTCATCATCCTGTTCACCGTCCTCGTCCTCCTCCTCCTCCTCCTCCTCCGCCTCCTCCCCCTCCTCCTTCTGCTCCGCCTCCTCCTCCTCCTACTCCTCCTCCTCCCCGTCCTCCTCCTTCCCCCCGCGGCGGCGCTCGGGCAGCCGCGGCCGTCCTGCCTTCTCCGCTTTGTCGAACGGGGCGGTGGGCGCACGGTCGGGCAGGCGCGGGGCGTGGAGGGGGGGAGGAGGGAGAAAGGAGGGGAAGTGGAAAGTCGGTGACGCGCCGAGGGAGACAGGGGGAGGGGGGGAGTTTCTTAGAAGGCAGGGTGCTTCTTAAAGCCCTCCTATAGCTTCTTAGAAGACTCCGAGGGCTTCTGAAGTCTGATACCTTCCCCCCTCCCCCTGCCCCCTCGGCGCGCCGCCGAGGAAGGAGAAAGGGAGGGAGCAGGGAGGGAGGAGGAAGAGGAATTGTTTCCCTGGCCTACGCATCGTGGCTCATTCTTGGGCGGCTGGCACTGCCGCAGTCCTCGCTGCGATCTCCAATTAGCTGGAGGGGAAAACACGGGACAGCACGCTCTCGTCGCCGAGGCCACCAACTTGTCCGGCAAGAAGCGAAGGACGGACATCTGCAAGGCTAGGATCACGGCGCCTGTAAAAGCGTTGCCGCTCATGTCCATGAAGAGAACGTCGACCCGCTTAGATCCAATATATTGCACCTCCTTCTTGATGAACTCCACCAGCATGCTGCGCGGAAACCCTTGCAGCATCATGCCCTCAAATCCCGTGAGCAGCCGCGGCTCGGGCACGATAGGAGGGAACATCATGAAACGTCCAGATGGCGTGATCGTTGGCGTGGTGGCGTGGGTGCATGGGTTCATTCGCTCAGGCATCTGGCTGATGTCCAGGAATGTCATGTCGGTGCGAGCTCTTGCCCAGTAGGCGATGCCGCTCCAAGGTACTGTACGGGATAGAAGAAGAGGCGCACATGCGCTGGATGTCAGCCCGCCACTTCCTCGTCTTCTCCTTCTCGGAGGCGTCCTCCTCGCTGTCGGCCTTACGCTTCGCGTCCTCGAGGCGGTGCAGCGCGTCCATCACGATGGCGGAGTCGTTGGGCAACAAGAACTCGCTGAGATTCAGGTGGCCGGCAGTCTTGCTGATCTCCTCCAGGGCACCGTTCGGATCTGTCTGTCTGTCCAGGGTGCCGTTCGTCTTGAAGATGTCCACCCCCCTGATGATCGATCGGGCCATGGTAAACGCCGTCTGCTTGTCTGGCAGGTAGTCTGAGGAGTCGGCGGACCACTTCACGCAAACCCCGTAAGCCCGCACCCTTCGAAGAATGATCAATGCTCGGGTGCCCAAATGCATCCAGCAACAATCAAACGAGGGAACCCCCTCCACCGGCCTTAGAAGGAGATGGTGTAGAGGAGGAGAGGGAGGGGGCGAGCGGGAGGGAAATACAGGAGTGGGAGGGAGGACGATGTAGGATGCGGGGAGAGAGGAAAAGGGACGTAGAAGAGGTGGAGGAGGGAGGTATAGAAGGGGGGAGGGGGCGAGAGGAACGAAGGGGACGAGAGGAAGGACGGAGAGGAGGGGGGAGCAGGGGGAGGAGGAGGAGGAGGAGGAGGAGGAGGAGGAGGAGGAGGGAAGTAGAGGAGTGAGAGTAAGAATGCGGAGTGCGTAAGGGCACCCATCAGCATTGACATTCTGCGGGCGCCTGCGCTGCGGTATACCAAAGTCGGTTGACACAAATTTGGCCTGCTCGCAGGCGTAGTTCAGCTTGTTCAAAGCCGAGAGTAGCCACTCGAGGTTGTCGGCATTAGTAGGGTCAAGGATCTCGGGCACATTCTCCCAGATATGAACGGGCGGCCCGTGCTTCCCCAAGTATCCGATCATGCCTTTGCACGTGGCACCCGAACTCCCCTTGGCCTCCTTCAGGATCTCGTTGAGCATGTTCTCCCTGCTCATCTGGGCAGTGCCGCTAAACATCTTGCTGAAGTTCTTGCAGGAGAAACCTACCGAGGTAAACAACGGGCCCTCCTTGTTGATAAAGGCCTCCTCGTCACGCGAATGGCACTCGGCCTTCACCTGGTTCATCTTCATGATATCTTTGAAGATCACGGGATCGTCGATGCCGAAGTAGTCGTGATAGTAAACCAACCACTGACGCTTCGTGAGGTCGTTCTCGCAGCAGAAGAGGTCCTTGACTTTGCCGCAACCAAGATGCCCAGTCAGCACGTGGAGCTGCACAGCCGCCACGTTAGAGCCAGAGCACATACTCCCCACCTTGATCGTCTTCAACCTTTTGAGGACGTCACTCAGCTGCTTGTAGATGTCGATACCTCTTGCGGCCGCTGCATCCAGCATCATCTTGAGGACCTTCTTCGGCAGCTCGGGTGTCGCTCCAGCCCGCCGCTTCCGCGCGGGCGGCGGTGTGGGTGCCGCCGCAGGAAGTTTCTTCGGTGGCATCGCAACTTCTCAGACGGCGGCTTGCAATGTAAGTCGGATGTCGCGAGTCGAATGTTGTAGGCAGTTCTTGAGCCTACAAATTCCATGGACAAATGCCTCGGCCAGCCAACCATACCAGACAATGATAAAAAACACTGATCGATGATTGAAACTGTTTTTGAAATTGTCTTCATCCACAAAACCAGTGCTGTCGCTTCTCCAAGACAGCACTGCCGCTAACTATATAGAAACTCAGGCGGTCCTGGGGCCACGCTTGGCCCTCTTCTTGGGCGCCTGGCTTGGCTCAGGTTCTACAGTGACCTTCACTTTCCTCTGCTTGGCCTTGGCAGAAAGGGCCGCGGACCTGATCCCCTTCACCCTCTCCTCGAACGATGCCCAGATCTCAGGATCCAAAGTCGTTTTGAACTCCGTGCTGAAGTGGTCCTGGAACAAGGCTTGCATCTCGGCGTCCACGCTGCCAGGGTCGTTCTCGTCCTTGCCCAAGAGTGAAAATAGGTCCCACTTCACGGACATGGCGCTGAGGCGCACGGCGATGTCTTGGCTCTTGGAGACACTCTCAGGCAAGTTTTTCAGCCCCAGCGAAGTCAAAAGCTCCACGATATCATCGATATGCTTGGTAAGCTTGGCGTGCAACGGGGAAAGGGCCTTCAAGTCAGCCTTGCCGAAGCCCTTCAAAAATTGTTCACCCTTCTCGCCCTCGACCTGAAGAAACTTCTCCTAGAGAGCGCTGGACAAGCCGATGTGGCTACCCGCCTGGGCGCCCGACCAACCCAAGCCGGGGCCCTCGGGGACAGCGGGTTACCCCACGGGCAATGTCCAGAGCCCCCGATGGTCCTCCAGCTTCGTGGCCTCCTCAAATAAGGTGCCCCCATTAGCATCAAGGAAAGCTTTCGCGACCTCCTCGAACTTTGTGCAGACGGAAGACACGAACTCTGTCAAGCCTTCGAGAGTTTCTTTTGCAAGCTCAGGGAACAAGATATTCAGCGTCGAGGACTCAGAGCGGACAGCGTCAAAAGATTCCATCGCTTGCTCGGCATTTGCTTCTACAAGATCGCTTAATGATTTCTTGGTGGGCGTCTTATCCAAAGGCGCCTTGTCCAGAATATTGATAAATCTGGTGCTCGACCCAACCTTGGATAAATGTTTGGATGTCGCCGCTGTCTGAGTGAACACCTTGCGCTCGTCCCCATCGTCGCAGCACGTGGCAAGCTGATTCAAATAGTGTGAGTTGGTTGAGATGTCGTTCGCAGTCTTGCTGATCTCGCTACCAGGACTAACCGTGCACTTCGTATTCACGATGTGATCTATCATCTCGATTGCGTTGGTGCTGAG